TGGAGGTAGCAGATGGGTTATGAGGATGAAATGACAGGCCCCAGAGTGGAATGAAAGCCCCTAGGGGTAGCAGGAGTGTTCTGGGATTGGAATGACAGGCCCCAGGGTGGAATGAAAGCCCCTGGGTGTAGCAGGAGTGTTCTGGAACTTGAATGACAGGCCCCAGAGTGGAATGACAGCCCCTGGGGGTAGCAGGAATCTTCTGGGACTGGAATGACAGGACCCACAGTGGAATGACAGCCCCTAGGGGTAGCAGGAGTGTTCTGGAATGACAGGACTCGCATTGGAATGACAGCCCCTGGGGGTAGCAGGAGTCTTTTGGGACTGAAATGACAGGCCCCAAAGTGGAATGAGAGCCCCTGGGGGGTAGCAGGAGTGTTCTGTGACTGGAATGACAGGCCCCAGAGACGAATGAAAGCTCTTGGTGGGAGCAGGAGTGTTCTGGGACTAGAATGACATGCCACAAGCCTAACAGCCATTTGTGTTAAGGTCTACTGAGATGAACCTCTCTGCACTGAGTTTCGAACCGATCACTCCTGCTGCCTCCTGTCAGCCCCGATCGACAAAATGGCATCTGGCAACAACGTGTCTGCAGCGGAGGCAAAACCTGTCACCGCAGCGGACCTGTCGGGCGCTCTTTTGAATATGGAAAAAGTCTTCCTAAACCATATAACCGTGATGTTTAAGCCTCTGTATGATGTGATGAAATGCAAAAAGACCTGACGGACACTAGAAATGTGGCTGACGGAGCGCTGCAGAGAAGCATAAATAATTAGAACGAAATTCAACAAATACAACAAACCGAGGACCTCCTTGCTGAGAAAACTCTACGTATCGACTTATCACTACGACAAAATAATCTCAAATTACGTGGGCTGGGGGAAAAGATTGAAGAAAATGGCGAACTGGCAAGCCATATATATCTCTACCTGGCTGACACAAACAGGAGCCACGGAGGGGATATACTAAAAGGAAGGACAGGATTGCCCATTGGAAACAATGGGAGACGCTGGAAGGCCCATTGGAAATAATGGGAGCCAGGAATGCAAATTGACTTGCATGGACTCCATTGGAAAACATTAGGGTACAAGTAGAGTTGCAATAACGGAGTGCAATGACAGGCCCTGGGAGTAACAGAAGTGTTCAGGAACTGGGATGACAGGCCACGGAGTGGAATGACAGCCCCAGGGTGGAGCAGGAGTGATCAGGGACTGGGATGACAGGCCACGGAGTGGAATGACAGCCCCAGGGGGGAGCAGGAGTGTTCAGGGACTGGGATGACAGGGCCAAAAGTGGAATGACAGCCCAAAGGTGGAGCAGGAGTGTTCAGGAACTGGGATGAAAGGCCACGGAGTGGAATGACGGCCCCAGGGTGGAGCAGGAGTGTTCTGGAACTGCGATGACAGGGACAAGAGTGGAATGACGGCCCCAGGGTGGA